GGAAGGAAGCTAGAGCAAAAGAGTCGCTAACAAGTTTTAGGAACTTGTAAACCGTTCACATGGTGAAGGTGACACCCCTTAATGATGCAGGAGATCATTAACTCCAATAGGTCTGGAACCATTACTGGAAGTTCGGGGATGAAGGTACAAATCCAACCTAAAAGAGATTGAACCTACCCTAATAATAGGCCTCTACTTTATTCTTCTCGTATTCATGTGCGCTTTCTGAATAACATGCAATCAATAGAATTAACCCTAAACCTGTTTAATGTATGTTGGTTTAATATTAATGCACAAATAAATCTATTACTGGCGATCACTTGAATTATAACCAAATTAACCCTAAACAAGATTATTAGTTATCTTATTAAGCGTGATTACAAGTACAAATTCCCTTTAAACATGCATAAAAGGCGTGATCAAGCAATAACAATAAATATCATCAACATAATAAATAATTATCATAAAATTATAATCATAATTAATATAATCGTGAATCATGTTAAAGCATAATAATAGCAAGATCCTAGGCATGATACTAACAAGATTAATAACAAACCCTAGAATGTCACTAAACAATAAAAATCAAAGCTTTAGCCCTAACATGATACTAACAATCATAAATATTTGGAAGAATAAAGGAAGCATCGCAGGAAACACAGTTGTCATATTTGATATTAAAGTTACCCTAGACATGATAGTAGGAATATCATAATAACAACCTAAGAATGATTTCTTCATCATAATAACAATGTAAAAAATTAAAACACTTACTTGGATGTCTCGTACCTCTTTCTAATAACAAAATACACACGTTAGTAACTTCAAGGAAAATAATAATCAAAACAATTAAAGAATTAAATTAAATAATTAAAATAGAGATTTGGGACCAAACCCTCAGAAATTAAACCTTTCACGTCTAGGGCAAAGGCAACTTCGAATATGGCTAGGTGTATCTAAGTCTAATGAATGCGGAATTTTTATATTTGTGAGAAGGCTAGTTTAGAAAAGAGAGAGAGAGAGAAATCAAGAAAATCTTGATGAGAGTTGGTGAACGAAAACGGAGTTTTAGGAAGCTATTTATAAAGAAAATCAACCAAAAAGATAGAAAATCAAAATAGAGTTCTGACGCGTAAAACGGGGATTAGCGCCAGACGCTAACATTAGCGCCAGACGCTAACATTAGCGTCAGGCGCTAACGCTAGCGCTAGGCGCCAAGCGTAGCGTCAGGCGCTAATGCTGGCATTTGGCGCTAACTTAGATTCTGACGCGTTTCTTAAAATCAAATAGAAATTGCTGTACAGGAGGATAAAATCGTATTTTCCTCAAAAACGTTCTTTTATTCTGATTAAAACTCTAAAAGTCAATAAAAGTCAATTTATCAATGCTATTTAGATTAGGAATGAAAAGAACCTTCTAGAATAATCTAGAAGACTAAAACCATTCCTAATTTCATTAGGAATGATAAATCCATATTAGGCCCTCCTCTAGATCATTGGGCCGCATATAAGGCTCAAACCGGGCCCAGTTCAGTAAATTGGCCATAACTTCCTCAATATTCATCGGAATTGGGCTTATAATATATCGTTGGAAAGGTCTTTTCAAGCCATATCCAACTACACTTTTATTGGACCCATATCATGGACCAACCAAACTGGATTGGCTGTTTTCTTAAAATAGGTTTTCAAAAACAGAGAGAGGAGAAAAGAAATTAAAACTATCTGCAACACTAAACTTTCCACACTTTCACTTCATTCGATTATGATTCGACGTGAAAAGTACTCATCACCGGGTTTGGTTTTGGGGAGACACAAATGGGTGTCTACAGAAGCCCCCACTTTGACTGAGTTTGGAGAAACGCAAGTTTCGAAAACAAAAGTCAAAGTATCGATAGGGACGGAGAATGGTTCAGAACGTTCTGCGATCCTAAATCACTCTTGTAACGCCGATACCTGCAAAACTAGCGTTAGTTAAACAGATCAAAGAGTTAAGAAACGCGTATCTTGCACCGTCGAGTACACGTCTCTGAAAGTAACCGAATTGCTGCCGTATTACTTTTTTGATGACCTCCTACAAGAGAATGCCATCCCGCTTGAAAACTGCTACGCTTGTAACTGTCTCCACTATCGAAGATTGCTTCGCTTATTTTTATTGATGTCTCCAGTTGCAACTCGACTAACTGCAGTGCTTTCATCACCACTCCAGTAGTCTCAATGTGACCTAAAGCTTTTGAACACAAACTACCAAACCTCACCATCATCTTGTTATACCTACAAACCTCCTCGGATTTGCTTGGGTCATGGTAAATTACTTTCACCCTTGTGTGCTTCTGTAGACACCCAAATGTCTCTCCCCAAAACCAAACCTAGTGATGAATACCTTTCACGTCATTTGATTATTGAATGAAGTGAAAGTGTGAAAATTCCAGTGTTGTGGATGTTTTTATCAAAATATCTCTCTTTCTGTTTTCAAAAATGTTTCTTCTTTTACTCTATTTATGAAAATAGCCAGTCCAATTTGGTGTGGTCTAAGATAAGGGTACAATAATAGTATATTTGGATTGGGCTCGAAAAGGGCTTTCCGACGATATATTATAAGCCCAATTCCGATGAATAAAGAGGAAGTTATTGATTAAATTAGATTTGGCACAAAATGATTTTACATGTGGCCTAATGATCTAGAGAAGGGTCGATTAATTATTATTCCTAAATTTGTTAGGAATTATTTTAATCCTCTAGAAGTATCCAGAAGGTTCTTTTTAATTCTAATGAGATTAGGATTGATAATTATATTTTAAAGAGTTTTATTTTGTATAAAATATGTAATTTGTCACAAATATGATTTTAATCTGCTTAACACGGAATTAGCTGCTTAATCGTATTAAGAAGATGATTCCGCGTACAAAGCGCGTTTTAATTTTGACTTAGCGCCAGTCGACAAAGTTGTTGCCTGGCGCTAACAGATGTTAACTAGCGCTAACAGATGTCGCTTGGCGCTGCTCTTGTCGTTGGCGACAGGAGGTATTTTATTCCGAATATGACTTGATTTGATTTCGAGCTATTTTTTCTATAAATAGGGGTCGCATCTCCCCGTTTTTCGTCATCAACAACCATCTAATTCTATTCTTTCTCTCCCTAAAAGCTAGAAGCTTTCTCTTTCTCTATTCTTTTTCTAAATCTTCCCTCTCATAAAATTCCTCATACATTAGTTCTAGACACACCTAGCTAAGTTCGAAGTTGCCTTCGCCCTAGACGTGAAAGCTTGATAATTTCTGAGGGTTTGGTCCCAAATCTCTATTATTTAAATTAATTGTTTGATTTATTATTTTCCTTAAAGTTACTAACGTGTGTATTTTGTTATTAGAAAGAGATACGAGGCATCAAAGTAAGTAATTTAATTGCTTTATTGATCTTTTGATATAGAAATCATGCTTAGATTATTTTGTTGATTCCTAGTATCATGTTAGGATGTATTTATTGCTTCCTAGTATCATGCTTATGGTTAACTAATATTTCTGATATTATTATGATGCTTCCTATTTCTTTCCTAATATCATGTTAGTATCATGTTAGGGATAAAGCTTTAATCTTTAGGAAAAATGGAAATAAATAAACCCACCTTTGCTCGAACTGAAAGTAACAAACCCACCTTTGCATATTTACATGACAAACCCACTTTTATTATTAATCTTCTTTTAATATACCAATTTACAGGCTACTTGTTGAATTGGTTAATCTTTCCCATTTCCCTCCTAAACTCTCTTGGTGTTCAACTAATTTTATTCGAACACCATTTCTACTGGTTTGATGACGAACTGAGAGGAAATTCACAAAAAAAAATAAAAATTTAAATTAACGTTGTTGATCTATAGACGCAAAGCTTGGAGCTTCAGTAAGGGGAATTGTGAACTGGGTTTCATCAATCTTGGGCAATACATTTGTTGTCGAGGTAATTCCAGAAACCCTAAGTTTCGATTTTTTTTGAATTGGATGAATTGAAGTGACAGTCTTGTGCTTGGGGTAGTATTAGGGTTTATACATTACTTTTACTGAATTACTTGCTTTCGTTTAATAATTAAACATGGAAAATGTGTGTTTGAAATTTTACCATGGGGGGTATTTAAGATGTGCAAAAATGGTGGATGGGAATATGTGGGAGGGCGATACAGGACATTTGCAGTTGATGCTGATGAGTTGTGTTGGTTTTATTTAAAGGAATTAGTAGATAAAAATGTGGTAATTATGGTGATGTGTACACGATTTATTACTTGATGCCTGGGTTTGATTTTGTTGATGGTTTAAAGAGTGTGTATAATGATGATGAGGTTAGAACAATGGGGGAAGTTTTGCATGATAGTAGATGTCTGGATTTGTATGTGGTTCAAGATGGAAAGCAGCCTAATTTCTTAGACCCTGTGTATGGATCCCAGACTGGATCAACAAACACAACCCACCCAATTAGAAGCCCAAAGCTCTTCCCTGGTCCACCCACAAGGCCCAAGAAAATGACCCCAAGAAAATGCCCTATGTTGACTCAGGAATCATGTGCTGCACATGATGAAGGGAAGACAACTCTTGTGCTGGTCCCCACAACCACAGTTGACCAAAAAAACAAAAAACCTACTTCTACATATAACAGTTTAGCATGTGTTCAGATCCCAGACTAACAACAACAAACAAAAAACCCCACTGAAACACAAAAACCAGAAGCTGAACCCATAAACATTTTTAAACCATCAAACAACTTTCATAGATCTGAAGTCCCTTCTGATTATTACTGGGAGGATAACAGACCTTGTAGTCCAATTCCCTTAGATTTGTTGCTACATGGTGTTAATTCTGATGAGGATAAGTCAGATGAAGATAAGTCAGATGAAGATTATGAAATAGGGTCAGATGTGTGGGTGGATGAGGATGATGATGAGTGGTTGTTTCAGTTTGTTGATGGAGTAAATGAAAGAATTTAGGAGGATGAGGATTGGTTAGGTGATTATGAGATATATGAAGCAAATTTTGGGGGGGGGGTTTGAACATAATGACTTAGAACAATTACAAGATCCAGTGTTATTAGATGGATTGGATAGTAATGATGATGAAATACAAGAAGCAAGGGAAAGAATGAAGGGATTCAACTGTAGCATTGTTGAATTAGCTCATAAACTCCAAGCTGAGGCTGATCAGTGTGGGCTTACTGCACAACAACTGGGATCTACAAACCCACAGAACAGTGAAGCAGAGGGTAAAGTTGACCCTAAATCTGAATATGAGGATTCTGGGGAAGAAATACATTCACCTGTTGTAAGTGGTGATGAAGCTGACAACATTCAACAAAGAAGGGAGAGAAGAGGGTTGTTAGTGGGGAAGCATACAGACTTCTCATTATTTCCGTGGAAGGTGGGTCAGAGATTCACAAGTAGGGAATATTTTAAGCAAGCTGTGGCCAAGTTTGCAGTGTTACAAGGGAGGAAATTGCACATTGTTTTGGCTAATAAAAAAAGGCATCAAAGGATAGGTGTAAGGTGTAGTTCAGGTTGTCCCTTTAGATTGTATGGTTCCTGGGATTCTAGAAGGGGATCATTTATTGTTAAAACTTTGATTGGGGATCATACTTGCATCAGAAACATGGAAAAGAACAAGCAACTGAAATGTAGCTGGCTTGCAGACCAGTTACTTGATGTTTTCAAAGTTAGGAATCATTGGCCTGCTAAAGAAATTATTGAAACTGTGAGGAGAGCTTATAGAGCCATTGTGAAGCCTGATTTTTCTTATAAAGTTAAGTGGCATGCTCACAGGAAACTTCATGGGTCAATGAGGGACCACTATGGGAAGGTTGGTAGATACCTAGAAGCTGTGAAAAGGTTTAATCCTAACACACACTTGGACTTGGTAACTTACATGGAGAAGAACAAGCCTCCAATGATTTTTCAGAGACTGTATGTGTGTTTTGAGGGTGTGCATATGGGTTGGAAGGAAGGGTGTAGGAAGATAATTTGTGTAGATGCATGTTTCTTGAAAACATTCCTAGGAGGTCAGTTGATGTCAGCTGTAGGAAGGGATGGTAATGATCAAATGTACCCAATTGCTTGGGCTGTAGTGGAGGGAGAAAACAATAGTTCTTGGGAATGGTTCCTTAAACACCTCAGCAATAGCCTTGGTATGGGAGAAGGAGCTTGAGTTGTTATTGTTTCTAATGAGCATCAGGTACCTCTAAATCTTTCAATGTCATTAGTTTACATGTAATATTCTTTGATTTGGTCTGTTTTAATGTAGTGGTTATTGTTGGTATGTTTCAGTCAATCTTAACTGGAGTTGGAGTCATTCTCCCTAATGCTGAGCACATGCACTGTGCAAGGCATATTTATGCCAATTGGCATAAGTCTTTCAAAGGGGATGAATTGAAGCTTAAGTTTTGGAGCTGTGCCAAGGCATACAATAGAGCTGACTATGAGGAAGCATTAGAGAAATTAACACTAGCTGATCCAGCAACTGCAGAGGCTTTCAAAGCATACAATCCAAAGTTGTTCTACAGAGCTTTTATGAAAACAGAGGTGAAGTCTGATGCCATTACAAGCAACATGGAAGAGACTTTCAATGGGTACATAATACAAGCCAGAGCAAAACATCTACTGTACATGCTTGAAGACATCAGATCATCATTAATGAAAAGATTGGTGACAAAGAAACAGGAAATGGAGAAATGGACAACATCACTTTGTTCTAGGATACAAAAAAAGTTGGAGTGGGAGAAAGAAGAGGCAGCCAAGTGTCATGTCATCCCCTCAAGCAGTACATTGTTCCAAGTTAGTCACATTTTGGACACAATGAGTGTTGATCTGGAAAATAGGAAGTGCACTTGCAGAAAATGGGATATGACAAGCATCCCTTGTTGCCATGTTGTTGCAACATTGTTCTTCACACATAAAAATGCAGAGGATTTTGTTGATAATTATTACAAGAAGGATAAGTACCTGCTGTGTTATTCAAATTCAATCCCTCCCCTGGAGGGGGAAAGACACTAGACAAGGAGTGATTTGGTGTTAGTCCCACCACCAATTAAGATAGGGCCTGGAAGACCAAGGAAGAATAGGAGAAGGGACCCCTTTTAAGACCCCAAAAATCATGGAAAGCTAACTAAACATGGCATGGAGGTGACCTGTGGTGTTTGCAACACTAAAGGCCATAACAAAAGATCATGTCCAAGCAAAGGAACAACCACCACAGTTGAACCTCTACCCAAAAAACCTAGGGGTAGGTCTAAGCTTCAGGTTGAATCAACATCACAACATGACCAAGCCAGCTGTAGTGTCAATTTAACAGCAACAGCCCAACCTTCAAGGATAGGCAAGGGTGGAAGGGTTGTAAGCAGGGGAGGAGGGACATGAAATGTAAGGGGCAGGGGAGGGGAGAGCAGCAGGGCAGGGGAAGGGGGAGTCAGGACAGTGGGTGTAGGGAATAATTTCAAGCCTTAAAAATCCCACTAGTTTGAACCCCACTGTGATCATACACTAAAGTACGGTGGCGTCCAAAAGGGAAGAAGATAGAGCAAAAGAGTCGCCAACAAGTTTTTTAGGAACTTGTAAACCGTTCACGAGGTGAAGGTTACACCCCTTAACGATCCAAGAGATCGTCAACTCCATAAGGTCATGAACCAAATAAGGGTTCGGGGATGATGGTACAAATCCAACCTAAAAGAGATTGAACCCGCCCTAATAATAGGCCTCTACTTTATTCTGCTCGTATTCATGTGCGCTTTCTGACTAACATACAATCAATAGGATTAACCCTAAACCTGTTTAATCTATGTTGGTTGAATTTAATGCACAAACAAATCTATTATTGGCGATCACTTGAATTTATAATCACAATTAACCTAACAAGATTATTAAATATCTTATTAAGCGTGGTTACAATTACAAATTCCCTTTAATCATGCAATAAAAGGTGATCAAGCAATAAAATAAATATCAAGCAACATAATAAATAATCAACATCATTAATAATAATAATAATATCAATCATACTCAATGATAATCATAATCATGTTAAAGCATAGCAAGATCCTAGGCATGATACTAACGAGATTAATAACAAACCCTAGCATGTCACTAAGCAATAAAAATCAAATCTTTAGCCCTAACATGATACTAACATGAATTATTATTAGGAAGAACATAGGAAGCATCGTACTTTTAACCATACTTAATATTAAAGTTACCCTAGACATGATACTAGGAATCAAAACAACAATCTAAGCATGATTTCTACATCATAATATCAATTAAACCATTAAAGTACTTACTTGGATGCCTCGTACCTCTTTCTAATAACAAAATACACACGTTAGTAACTTCAAGGAAAATAATAATCAAAGAAATTAAATTAAATAATTGAAAGAGAGATTTGGGACCAAACCCTCAGAAATTAAAACCTTTCACGTCTAGGGCGAAAGCAACTTCGAATATGGCTAGGTGTTTCAAGATCTTGTGAATGCGGAATTTTGTATTAAAAAGCAAGAAAGAAAAGAATACTAAAGAATTAATATTATTGAACGTTGACGAAAGAAAGATGAAGAATGAATTAAAAGAATTTGAGGAATGATTGATGCTTGTTGATGAATGATGAAGATAGTTGGTGAATGAAGAGAGTTGATTAAAACTTAAGAATAAAGAGAATTGGTGAATGATAGATGTAGATGATGATTGAAAACGGATTTTTTGATACGATATTTATAGAGAAAATCATCAAAAAAAGATAATTTAACAAAACAGAGTCTGAAGATCATAGAAACACATTGGCACCAGTGGCTAGCGTCAGGCGCCAGTGGCTAGCGTCTGGCGCCAAGCCTGGTTCCAGGCGCCAAGGCCTGGGGTTGGACGCCAAAGTGGTTTTCAACGCGTTTTTCGAAAATCTGATAAATTTCCTGTACTGGAAGATAAAATAATATAATTTCCATCGAAAATGCTATTTGATCTTAATTAAAACTCTGAAGAGTCCTAATCGAATTAGGAATGATGAGAACCTTCTAGAATGTTCTAGAAGACTAAAACCATTCCTAATTGCATTAGGAATGATAAATCATATTAGGCCCTCCCCTAGATCATTGGGCCGTACATAAAGCTCAAACTAGGCCCAGTTTAGTAAATTGGCCATAATTTCCTCAATATTCATCGGAATTGGGCTTATAATATACCGTTGGAAAGGTCTTTGCAAGCCCCATCCAACTACACACTATTGGACCCATATCATGGACCAACCAAACTGGAATGGCTGTTTTCTTAAAATAAAGTTTTCAAAAACAGGGAGAAGAGAAAAGAAATAAAACTTTCCGCAACACTAGACCTTTCCACACTTTCGTTTCATTCGATTATGATTCAACGTGAAAGGCACTCATCACCGGGTTTGGTTTTGGGGAGACACAAATGGGTGTCTACAGTGGGAGAGGTACCAGGGGTGGCAGAGCAAGGGGTGGTAGAGGAAGAAGTGGGAGAGGAAGAGGTCAGGTGCCACAAGGTTATGGGGTGTTTGTTGCTGCTGATGGTTCCAATTACACAAATGTAAGAGTGTTTGATTGTTTGAGTTGTGCTTATATAGTTCAGTTTGTATTCTAACAAACTTAACTATATTTGTGTATAGGTACCAAGTGGAGCAGGACCTCAAGATCTCAGCACCACAACATTCTCCTACAATTTCAGCCAAGGGTCCAAGATTTAAAGTGCAACACATCTAGTTAGGTTCCAATTCCAGTGTAATGGAAATGTATTTTGACTTATTTTGAACTTTTAGAGCCAAACAATATGAGTAATTGTGTTTACATACTCTGGCCAACTATGTGTAATTAATATTTCAAGTATTTTATGCATTTTCAATTTTCTGTCCACTTTTTTTTCCTTTTATTTATCAAATTTTGTCCACATTTCAAGTATTAATGTGCAATGCAATACTTAAATCAAAATTTGCCAACAAATTAGGAACAAATTAAACCATAAAGTAGTTAATAAAGTCATGCATATATATTCCTTTCATAAGATTTTCTTACATATACCCAAACACTTAGGCTCCCATTTTTAACCTAAAACAAAGCTAAAAATACTACTTCCTGCAACTGACATGTACTACTACTGGCTGAGTTGTTACACCTTACTTGCATCACCAAAAACAGAAAAAAATTACACAACTCAGCCACATACAAAAGACTACTACATACTACCTACTGCATTACTCCAACACCAAAACCACACACATATTTCCCTAACATCTAGTTCTAAGGAACTATTTCAACAACAACACTAATGTAAAAAATGCCCAAGAGAAAACCAATGTCAGCATCAATCTCCTGTCAGTGTTGTGTTCCTTCAACTCATACATTGTCTCAGTGGTGGCAATTCCCATCTCTGCAACCTCATCCACAAGCTCCTCCTTTTTGGCTTTTAGTTTCTTGACCTTCTCTCTCAGTCATTCGATCTCATCTTCAAGCTCAGATATCCTGAACTCCTTATCAAGAACTCTGTGCTGCAAGACCTTAACATCATCTACTATGTCGTACCACTTGAAGAAGCCGCATGTCCTCTGCTCCTACATATTAATCAAATTAATACTCAGAAAAAAAATTGAAATGAAAGTAGCCTAACAAAACTTACAGGCCAGTATGAACAACCGTAGAATCTTTTCCCTTTCGTTGGACCATCGTGGCGCACAGTTCTCAAAGGGGCTACCTTGTCATGGTTGCAATACACTTGAATAGGAGAAGAGTTTCCCCTACTTCTAGATCTGGAACCAGACCCAACAGAACCATGACTTGTCGCCATTGATAAAATCTGTTTCAGAAGATTATTGTATATTAAAAGAAGATTAATAATAAAAGTGGGTTTGTCTTGTAAATATGCAAAGGTGGGTTTGTTACTTTCAGTTCGAGCAAAGGTGGGTTTATTTATTTCCATTTTTCCTAATCTTTATGGTTTAGTGACATGCTAGGATTTGTTATTAATCTTGTTAATATCATGCCTAGGATCTTGCTATTATTATTATGTTTTATTGTTAACATAACTATTATTATGATGATTATTAATATATTATTGTTGCTTGATATTATATTAATTATTGTTATTGTTTGATCACGCCTTTTATGCATGTTTAAAGGGAATTTGTACTTGTAATCACGCTTAATAAGATAATTAATAATCTTGTTTAGGTTAATATGATTATAATTCAAGTGATCACCAATAATAGGTTTGTTGTGCATTAATATTTAGCCAATATAGATTAAACAGGTTTCGGATAAACCTATTTATTGTTTGTTAGTCAGAAAGCGCACATGAAAACGAAAGTCAAAGTATCGATAGGGACGGAGAATGATTCAGAACGTTCTGCGATCCTAAATCAATCTTGTAACACCGATACCTGCAAAACAATGTTAGTTAAACAGATAAAAGGGTTAAGAAACGCGTATCTTGCACCGTCGAGCACACGTCTCTGAAAGTAACCGATTGTTGCTGCTTTACTGTTTTGATGATCTCCTGCAATCTAGAGAATGCCATCCCGCTTGAAAACCGCTACGCCCGTAACTGCTTCCAAATTAGAAGATTGCTTCGCCTGAAACTATCCTCCTCCGCAATGATAATATTCCACATCCAAGGGAATACCATCGAAGATTATTTCTCTCGAAACAATCCTCATCCGCATTGATTATATTCCGCGTCCAAGGGAATACTATCGAAGATTGCTTCTCTTAAAACAATCTTCAGCTGTTTGTGACAACTCTCCATAATCCAGGGAACGCCACCTTGCTGTTTCGATGTTCACTCGTCTCTGAACAAAGAGCTTCTTTTTTATATGATCTTCTGAATGATGTGTCCACGCGTCTCTGAACGAAGAGCTTGATAATAGGATGCCCACGCGTCTCTGAGCAAAAGGGCTTGAAAATAGGAAATGTCCACGCGTCTCTGAACAAAAGAGCTTGAATGAAATGTCCACGCGTCTCTGAACAAAAGAGCTTGAAAATAGGAAATGTCCACGCGTCTCT